AGTAATCGGTCTTTTCAAATGGTCACTCTGGACTCAAAATGGTGACTTTGAACAACCTTTTACTTTGTAAAAATAAAAGTGTGGGTGTAGTTAAAATAAACGAAATCATAAACAAATTTTATACGAGCTTTCCTAAAATAAAAAATCTGTTTTGATGAAAATAAAAAGGTTGCTTTTCATCTTATTCCTCTTATTCAGCGAACAAGTGTGCAATAACCTTTAATATACATTTTAAGTAGCTGAACCTTTTGTAATGGCTTGTGGTTGTCCAAATTGCGCGGTTAACCATTTTGAGCATTACGTATCTTCTCAATCTGTTTTATACTTCATTAAATTTTAATCACCAAAAGTTAAAATTACTCTACAAATTAACTATTGTGCTTTTGTAAGTATTGCATTTCCTTGTGAAATAATATATCATAATATGTAACTGATGTTTTGAATTTACAACACATAAACAAGGATTTTTTTTAATAAATAAGAGCAAAAGATAAAATGTTGAGTTGTAATGCATTCAATCGACTGAAGGGCTCGACATGAGACTGGCACCCAGGGTACCCACATTTGCAGTCTCGACAGGATCGCAATTTAACCGAAAGTTCATTCGTTCGTTCGCTAACTCCTTTTTTTTTGACGCTGAGAAATGCATTACGCATACCCGCTTCACCCTGCGCGGGCTCCACGGGTGATGTGGGACTCCTCCTGTGGCCCCACCCCCGAAGGGGCTAGACAAGAAACAGGTTCGTTCGCTAACTCCTAGCGTATCGTATTTAAATTTATCGGTTATGCACCGAATTCAAATTCACAGTTCTATCTGACTGAAGAATAAAGTTATATTTGTTTAAATAGTCAAATCAGTTTCTTAATCTTTCTAAGATTTAACAGGCGTACTTTTATAATCGAATAAAAGAAATTAAATTCCAAAAGTAGCAATTGATTCTCTCGAATAATTAACACTTAATTAACAGAGAATTTTGTTTTATTAAAATATGAATTCATGCTCTTGAAAAGTAGAGAATACACATATGTAACTTTATACTTTGGATATGTCAAGTTATACTCGGTTCGTCACCGACAAACTGTAGAGACTTATTATGGAAACAACTTTAAATGAAAATATATACCGAATTATTTATTATTTAATGGGTGCTAGGTGAATAAAGGGTTGCCAGCTTATAATTTAAAAAAGCATGACTGTGCGCTCTATAGGACCGCAAATTGCCCTAAAAGCCGAACTCTACCTTTTTTCTAAGAATGAGAAAGTATTTTCTCTCTATCGCCTTAATGTGATGCGCATTTCGTAGCTAACGTTCTGCAGGCGTTGCGTACACTGTGTTAAAAAAATAAAACCCAACATAGCCGTACAGACAGTACCTACTTATAAATATTTAGCCGGACACGACCTGAAAAAGCCAAATGTCTGGCTAAAGCCGGACAGATAGCAACCCTATGCGTATGGCACAAGTCAGGTTCAGCGGTTCAGCAGCCGCGGTGAGCACAAGTTCACCCTCACAAAATCAATAGACGCCACCACCGGCACCGGCTGTCCTCAAAAAGTGCTATTACTCACGTTTAGCCCGTGACTAATATACTATAACCAGTGTTTATATAATAAAGAAATCAATATCCATAATAAGCACTTTATAAATGTAAAAGGCCACTCTATTTGTGTGTGTTGCCGAAATTTTTTCACGCTGAAACTACTGAATCTATTTTAATGAAATTTGGAATACAGATGGAGTGGACGTTGGGAAAAGACATAGGATAGTTTTTATCGTAAAATAAATTAAAAATATGGAATGAAAATACGAAGGGTGACAGCAACCAAATTCTACGCGAGCGAATCTGCGATCAAAAAGCTCAAAAATTGAACTACAGCTTAGAGTAAAAGCTAAACATGCCATTACTAAAAAACATTATCACTAAAAAGGTATGATTCTCTATTACGTTAGGCTGCTTACGTTACCAATGAATAATGAAAGATATTAATGATGAAGGTTTTGTGCAACATAACTAAAGTATGATAATGATTGTATACGATGTTGAAAAAATCACGTAAACTTGGACCTACAACAACATCGGTTGCTTGATATTGTTCATCATATTTCGGTAATAAACAAGAGATTTCAATTAAGCCGGAGGGAGTATATGCGTATTATAACTAAAGCTATATATGCGTATTATGACCACAGCGTAATAACTTACGCATTTACCCTTACTATATTGAGTATACGTACACTGTAGTATTATTTTTAACTTAAGAATGTAAGAACAAAATCACGGTTACGTAACTGAGGGGTTGAATTCACCGACGACCGACTTAACCCTACAGACGGTATTATATTAACCGCACATGGCACAAAAACTGAGACGAATGGTCTGACTCGTTCTAAGAGATCTAAAGAAAAACGAACTTGTAATAGACTTTAAACATGTTTCTACCCCTTAAAAAGGCGTGTTAGAAGAATAATTATTTTGTACAAGCTACTGACTTTGCTGATTTATAACTAACTCTTCATTTGTTTCTCCTATTGACAAGCATTCAAAAAGATTTGCGGCTTCTTTGTAAGAAAAAATAACACAAAAATTTGGCAGTTTGTGAAATCACCATGGGACTACTAACTCTCTTATTCAGCTAAAAGAAAATTGTACTGTGTTTATCAATGAATGTGTTTATGATTGCTTTATAACGATATGTTTAATATTCTTTACATATGCATTTAATCAAACATTTTCTTTTATTTCACTTTTCAAAATATGTGACTTTGTTTGTTTAAACTTTTAATTAAGTCTTATTTTATATACTAACAAAACCATTAATTATACTATGCAAATAATAAAGCAAACACATTACATATGAAAATAGAAACATATCATTTATTATTCGTTGATAAATTCGGTAAAACTATATATTATTTAGTCCGTCTGTCATATAATAGAAAAATGTAAGATTCGTATTTTTCTTTGTTGCAATTCAACAACATTGAAGTTAAGTTAGGAGCTCGCGACGTCACAACAAAGTAGAAAATATTATAAAGTCACGGGATATTTCTACTCAGTGTATCGTCATAATTTATAATTTACGCAAAAAATAAAAATACGTGCTTAATATTCCTCAATAATCTACCCGATGGACAGACAAACAAAATTAGTAATAATTTCTATCATGTCTAAAGTTAGATTGTGAGAGTTAGATGGTCGCTCCCAAAATTTTATACTTAATACATTTAATATTTTAATCTTATTAGTTAAATAACAAATCGACCGACAAATTGCCATAATGTGCATAAAACACACGGCCACAAATTTATCAACATTTCATAATATGATTATTTCAATTTGATGTCTGGCAACGATAGGATCGAAATAAAAAAAGGCTTATCAGATATAATCAATGATTTACCAAATCATTTTTGAATTTTCTCTCAAACAAATAATTCATTGTGTTAAATTTAACATTTTTGTGTGTGTGTATGTACCTAGCGACTACGCCATTTACAAGACCTATTGTATGTACTTATAACCGAGAAGTTATGAACAGTACGGTAGTACAGTAATAAATAAACCTTAATTTGTGATGATATCAAAACAGCTAAGTCACATGTTTTGACTAAGATATTGGCTTGTATAGTTAGGATATGTAGAATGAGAAGCTTAGCTCTACATAAGATGAAAATTTTTAACGGTGCGAGTCATTTATTTTTTATACTCATAGTCTTGGCAACATTTTACATGTTACGTTTTTGGTGGTATCTTTATTTCAATGCCTATTAATTTTATGAATTAATCATATTTGTTACTAAATCATAATATTTTCTACCTCTATCAATTAAAAGAAATATTATGAAAGCCCCTGCATTATAGAAAAATGAAAAAAAAAACGAAGATACCGCAATATCAGAATTAAAACAATATATAAAAGTCAATTATCTACATTGATCCGACCGAGAATCGAACAAAGCATGAGATGGACACTTCTAAATCAATTTCTGGACAGTATATACAGACATATAACAGTATCTTTCGTTCACCATAAAGAGCGCTTGCGACATGTTTTTTAGGAAATTAATTTTTTTTTTATGTATATACACAAGGCTACACATTACGGTTACTACAATATGACAAATTTCCACAATGGATTCCTCTATCATCACTGTATTAAGAAAGCAGGAAGTCCAGTGGGGAAATTTGCGGGTTTTGTATAGCACGACGAGTTGTCGGTTGTTCTTCAAACAATCTTATAACACATCGTACTGCGGTCAGATTTTACATTACTGAATATTAAAAATTTAATAAATTTTAATTTACAGCAGTTGCAGTTTCTACAATGTGTTTTATAATTATTAACGAGTTGTGTCATTACGTCATTAGCTACTGAATGTCCTAGTTAGAATATTTATTATAAGTATTCTAACTAGGAGATTCAGTAGCTACAATACTCAAACTTCCTTTTCTAGATGACTCATAAGTTTTAACGAACTATTAAATTTACTTTACCGAATCAGTTCCGACAATATTTTTTATTACTGATATATTAATGAATAAATTTTCGTAAATTACAAGCAATCATACTATTTATAATACCAATAATTTAATTTAGATCCGGATTGTTTAACGACCAAGTTTTTAATTACGATTTTACTAAAGTACCGGAAATATTATCTTTCCTTATAATATGTACTCACATACATAATTGAGTAATACAAAAACAAGAGTTATTCAGAATATTAATGTGTTAATAGTAGGAATACGACCCGATATATTGAATGAATTACGTTTATTTACATCCGTGCCCACGTGAATTTTGATTTATAAACTTATAAAGTTTAAAACAATACAACTGACGGACTTGGTAAACACCTGAGAGTATAGCAACTAGGTCAGTCATATTATACAATTTACTGTAAGAGTTGAGCACTTCCGATTCATGAAGCGAGCAACCATGACCTAACCGAATTACGCGCGGTCGTTGATCTGTCAAACGGAGCTGTCACACGTACCTTGTTCAGTCCGGGATGTTTCAACCGGTCGAGGCCGGAGATCCGGCTGACGGACTGGCCGTCGCCGCTCCCCCACAGTCCGATACGATCGCGCTCCATCACATCAAACGTACACTTTCCACCGCCGACAATTTGCGACTGCCGGCCCGCCGTGAACGCGTTGGTTTTGTCACGATGGGCGGGGGGCGCTGGACTCATTGCGGTCTCGCTCCTGGGAAAGCGGGAAAATTTTTCAGCGACACAGATATGAACCGCGATTGTGGTCGCCCGATAACAGATGGCGTTGAATAGTCCATTCAATACAATAATATTGTTAAAAAAATATTTTTGAATGATATTTTATATTGCGACAGGTTATTGACTGTACTGTGGTTTTAATATGAAATGGCAAACGATATCTTCACAAAAATAATGTTTTTAATTATTATATTCGAAGTGAATGACCTATTGTGGTTTGATAATGTATGACAGATTGAAGTGTAATATTCCTTTCGCTACAAAGTATCTGATAATTTGCACGCTTTCTTTTAGGGGGCGTCCATAAATTACGTGAGGTGTTTTTTTTTGAGGTGATTTTATTCAACCCCCTCCCCCAATCTCACGTAAGATTTTTCAAAATGTGTGAAATAAAAACTACAGACCAATACTTCCATAGCATAGTTAGATAGATTTATAAAATTCAGTCATAGATTATTTTATAATGGAAGCCAAATTAAAGAGTAAAAGTATATATTATATATATATAATAGGGAAATGAAAAGCTTTTATGTTGAAACGCCAAATGCAACGCCTATATTATATAGTATATACTTTTTGGCAAGAATACTCGATACCAGCAATTTGATGAGTACCTACTTGCGAGTATTTACCTTGTTGTAGTATCGAGTTCTCAGCATCGAGTATCGCTTTTGAAAAGTATCGTTCGAACCCTACAAATATGGTGGTTTGACATTCAGTAGATGTACATATAACGTCGAAGTATGAATGAAATTATTTTCTTTCGAACGAATTAGTGAATAATCTTCATCGTTTACGATTACGCTTAAGATTAAATCTTAAGCATGTTCAATCTGGATTAAATGGACCAAAATAGTATAATTAGTTTTTGTTTCAATCAGAAAAAAATTGCGTGATATTTGCCGAGACCCCCCCCCCCCTCTCCAACATAAGATTAGATGAGATTTGACTCGACCCCCTCCCCCCCTTAAACATCTCACGTAATTTATGGACGCCCCCTTATAAGCCTTAGTGTTATTCTTTAAAGTTGTTCCAGTACAGATGTTTTAATAATACAATTAAATTCCTAAAATAATAGTTCTAAACTAAACAACCTAAAGAAACAACAAAACTAGTTTACAGAGCCACTAGTAAAACAAGAATAAAAAAACTAATAAAATGTGAATGTAGTCTAAAAACGTCGATAATTATAAATAAAATCAATATATAAATCTATTTCGAGACACTGATCTATAAAGCAGCCCTACCCAAGCAAAACCGCAGGGCAAGCCATGTTGCCTCTTTGGCAAGGACAACTCATATGACCTTCAACGTCTGAAAATAAAAATATAACTCAGATATGGCAAGTTATTAACATTTAATGTAAAAGAGTATTCATAAGTACCTATACATCCATCAAAAGACAAAAACAATTATAACTTGTTATTTTTGTAGGAGTTTGCTGTTTTTATCTTATCTTACGTACAAACTTTCAGGTTTACTTATACTAATATTATAATTATAAAGAGGTAGTTTGTTTCTTCGTAGGGGGTTATCTTCGGAAATACTAACATCATACATCATACGTTTTTTTCTTTTTTTTATGGCATAGGGGGCAGACGAACAGACGGATCACCTGATGGTAAGTGATTATCGTCGCCCATGGACACCTGCAACACTAGAGGGGCTACAAGCGCGCTGCCGGTCTTTGAGGGACGAATATGCTCTACGCTTGAAAGTTTGAAGGTCATATCAGTCCGGAAATACCGCTGGCGACAAACTGTTCCAGATTTTGACTGTGCGAGGCAGGAAACTTCTAGAAAAACGCACAGTTCCAACCATCCAAATGATGGGCGTGGATTTCTTGTCGCGTGGAACGATGGCGGAAGGTAGCGTCAGGTATGAGTCCGAACAATTCCTCGGAGCATTCACCGCAATAGATGCCATAGAAGATGCTCAGTGAAGCAACATTTCTATGCAGGGCCAGTGGATCAAGCCGACTTGAAGTGTCCCGGCAATCGACGATTCGAGTCGCTCTCAGCTGAATGCGGTCTAGAGGGAGAAGCTGGTATTGGGGTGCCCCTGCCTAAAGATGAGAACAGTACTCCATATGGGGCAGAACTTGCGCCTTGTATAGCTGCAGGCGATGTGCTGGAGTGAAATAATTGTACGTACATTGGTATTGGTGAAATATACGTTGCTGGTTAATTTAGGGTAAAGTCACGGGAAAACTTGAGTATAAATTAAAAATTAGTATTAAAATTTATTTAAAAAACGTATAACAACTAACTCACTTAATAGAAAATTTTAAGACTCATGGAACGTTTATTTTCTATCTATCTCCAAGTACAAATGGAGTGTCAAGAGTAATCCTATGAAAGGATGCAACAGCGCCCAGAGTGGCGAAAAAGGATTAAGAGGGCCGAGCGAATAAATCTGAATCTGATACCGCAAGCGAAGTGGGACTGCATGGAAGAAGAAGTAGTAGAAATTCATATTTTTCACATACATCCTCTTTATAAGAAACAAGTAAATATAAGTATAAACATTTCAACAAAAAAAAATACAAACAATTTGACAAAAATATACAATACCTATGTATAGTACAAGAAAAAATCTTAAAAAATGAATTATTTTCTTTCCAGCCCCGTGATTCTGTTAAAATCGAAACCCGAATTCGAATTCACTCAGGTGCTCGAATTTACTTCAAAAAGCGGCATCCGCACAATCTTGAATCGGTGATAACGTTTCATAGCATAAGTAAAGTGAGTTAAGAAATGACATAGGAATAGAATATCTAAGACACGTATATTCAATCAATTTTGTTTTGTATTTTTATACAAAAAATGGAATTAATAGAATTTCTACAATCAACGACATATGTGTGAATTCAAAATCGTGTTTGAATTTTTATAGAATCGCAGGGCTGCTCTCTACCGTTTAACTTTTCGCAGATCACGTGGAGCGGAGGTCTCTATCACGTCATATAATCAAAAAGATAAACCAGGGTTATAATAATAATAATAATAACATGATGATAAGATAATATTTATGCAGTGATATCGAATTATTCATGTGATGCGAGTGTGAATTGGCCGAAATTAATAAGAATATCTTCTATACATACTATAAAGTAGCATCCCGCTGTCTAAAAAGTGAGATCTCTTAAACTACGCAATGGATTCTTATTATTAGATATATTAAAGCAGTTTTCATCCATATTCAAGAGGAAAGTAATTCAATTTTATGTAGCTCTTATCATATTTAATATTTAAAGAAGGAAGATTTGGTTGTTTATTTGCATCGAATAGGCTTCAAACTACCGGACCCGTTTAATTCTTATAGCTGCGGAAGCAACATCATAGGCGGTCATAGGCTATATTAGGCTATATTTTACACAGGCGAAGTCGCGGGAAATATATATATATATATAATATATTTGACATTTTACAAAACTAAAAGTCTACCTCTATTGTAGCAATGTCTCTAGCTATCTCTTTATCGAATTTCATCTCAGTCGGCAGACATTTACATTCACATTCGCCAAGAATCGAATCATTTATGTATATATATGTTTTTCTATCTTTTAAATTCATTTTTTTCTTATTTTCGGTGCGACATAAGTTTTTAAGACTTATGTATGCTTGTTTCTAAATAAATTACAATAATACTTTTTTTAATAATTAATCATTTCATAACATTACTCAGACTAGTTAATAATTATGACTTTTACGTCACATAAACAGGTCAGTGTTTACAAATAAAATTCTCTGACCAATTATAAGATTTTTATTACCAAAGAATCGAAAATTCATAATAACTTGTTTATATTTGCGACAAAGTCTTCCGCAGAATAAAGACAAGGTCGTATAAAGATATTTCACTATGTTAAATATTCACTTTTACAAAATAAACTTTTGAATCTTTATAATAAAACTGCATAATCTACATTTTTTCTATTCAGACAAATTAATAAGTGAAATGAAATAAGTTAATTTCTTAAACAAAAGCAATTATACGGTGCTTATCAATGACATAATTTTAACTATTTAATTTAATTCTACCAACTCTACTGAATTTTATCATTGCGAAATTAATAAGTAACATTTATTACCCTATATGTTTAGCAGCGACGATAACAACTCGTTTTATAACTAAAAAAATATAAGTACCTAATTAACAAAGTTTCTCCGAATTAAAAGTATAATAATATATCTTTAACAACGAGTTACTTTCAAGTAGTATGTAAGAAAACCTGTTATTAGCCTTAGTATCCAATGCTATATTAATTTTAATAGTACTATATAAGAACGCCGTTGGTTTCTAAATAAATAATAAAAATATAATAATAATAAACTTAAACTTTATATTTCCGTGTTTAACTTATTTAATCTGCATTAAATAATTACTTTATATAGCAACTGTTGAATAAACATAAATGGCGTTTATTTGGGAGCCTAGGTTGCATTTTATTGGAAGCCCCAAGACTTTATCTTTTTGCGTAAAATGTAAATAATATACCCATTTAAAAGGACATTATACTTCTAAAGATTTGAGAATTATAAATAAGATATTAATCGTATAAATCCTTAATTCAAAAAACTTACCGTTTTCCTTTGTAATTTTCACTAGAGCCATTCATTTGATGATTGTCATTTTGACTGAGGGACTTGACTTTGCGCGTGATAAATTCCATTTTAAAATTATGAAGAAATTATTAAAAAAAAAATATAGAAAAGAGATCAAATTAATATCACAGTGCCTATGCCGAAAACTTAAAAAAGTTTATATTAGCAAGAAAATTCTTTTATAAAATTTTGTATTGACGAAAAAGTTTACGCATTATTATTGTTCTTCCAGTGCCATAGAGCTCGGATGAACTCTAAATGACGACTGGATGTTGCAATGAAATGATCACGCTAATATCATCGACATTATCAATATGTGGGATAAATTATTCAATGTTAATTGTATGTCAACGTAAAAATATAGTTTTGCAATCACGCGTTCATTTGTTTGTTCCGTGTGATAAAATCACGCTTCGAATGTACCTAGACACAAGAAGCAATCAAAAAATATGATTTACTAATTTAATTTGGAGTTTAAATGATATCGTGTTCTTATTTACGGCAATATTATTGTTTTTAAAATACGACGCAATAAATTTTTTTTACATATTATTATCACCTAATAATATTCGCATTGCATCGATAGAATGCAGTAATGATTCGGACATGTGGAAAGAATTACGAAACTGATAAATAGGGCAAGATAGAAGGATATTGAAGCCGAAGAAGACCAAGTCACACCCTACACACGTGTTCTTAGATGGTCTGACCATCTGGCGATCAGCGTTATGGAAGAAATATGTATGTAAGGAATACTCCTTGTGACACTCAAGCCTCCCTGCGAGAGATCCCTGCTTTCCCCGCAAGAGATGGGGTGTACTCTCTCATCTACTATATAATTTTCTCTAACCGTAATTGACTTGAAAAGCTTATAGCGCTAATGAAATCGGAAACGAAGAAATATATATATTTTTTACAATTATGTTAGAGATAACAACGTCTCGAACTTGTCTTGCATAAATTTATCCTTTACGTTTTAATTTGCTAAAAAGCTTGTTTTGAAAAGCTGTTTATTAGAACAGTATATTAGAAGTAAATGTGAAATTAAAATAGTAGCTCCATTTAATAATAAAAAATCTTTAGCTTTAATTAATATAACAGAACTACAGAAATATTTATTATATGTGAAGGAAAATTCTCGTCGCACTACTATTACCTGCAACATAACATAAAAATGACAGTATTTATGGCCAACATTGATATAGAATGAACCACAATGTATTTGTTTTAATTTTGCGAGTTATAATATCAGTTGTAGGTACTAAGGCCAAGCACATACCAGGCGATTTCGTGTTTTGTGATTTTTTTTATTTAGTCCCAACTACCATCGAAAATCTGAATGGCAATTAATGTTAAGGCATTAGTACGCTTACGACAAATTCTCACTTATCCATCTATCATAACCATAATAATATCCGTTGCCTCCATAACGAATAGTTCGTACATAAAAAACCTACCAGAGATTTTGTATTAGTTAAAAATTCCTTCACACTGCTAATTATAAAAAAATAATATGCTAGATCGTTGCCAGGTTACCACTTCATAAAAATTACAAATTTAATGGTAAAAAAGTAACCTAAATACGAACAATATATTTCAATTGTTCAACAAAAAACGTTTTAGAGGATTTTTAAAGTAAACCACTTAAATATACGTTACGATATTGCGATGAAAACTTATGTCGCATCTCTTTGGCGATGCGGCCAACAATTCGTGCTCGTCTGACCTAAATCAAGTCATCGTCTTGTCTCGTCATATATGTTTGAGTGCGCATAGATAATAAATAAGTTCATGTGTAAGGCCTAAGGCCACATATAACATGCATATGAGAGCTCAAGATCACGTGAAGGGCAAAAACGAGAGTTACCAGATTCCCACGTTATTGACAATTGCTCACCAAAATAAAAAATATCTCATATCTGACTAAGCGAAATATATTTAATTAAACAAGTGTTAGACAACATAACAATTGTTTAGATTCTGAGTTAATTAGAAAAAAAAGATGTCAGTAAATTAGATTGAACACAATTTTTTCGAAAAAATCTAGCTCATCTCGTTGGTCATAACATTCATCATCATCATCATCATCAGCCGGAAGACGTCCACTGCTGAACATAGGCCTCCCCCTTTAAACGCCACGACGGACGACATTGCGCCAGCTGCATCCAGTGGCCGCCCGCGACTCGGACGATGTCGTCCGTCCATCTAGTCGGGGGTCGACCCACGCTGCGTCTTCCGGTTCGTGGTCTCCACTCGAGAACCTTTCGTCCCCATCGGTTATCGGTTCGTCGAGCGATGTGGCCTGCCCACTGCCACATCAGCTTACAAACTTTGCGAGCTATGTCGGTCACTCTAGTTCTTTGGCGAATATCCACGTTTCGGATCCTATCGCGCAAAGAAACCCCTAACATAGCTCTCTCCATGCCTTGCTGAGCGACTCTGAGCTTCTCTAGGAGGCCAGCAGTTAAGGACCACGTTTCAGTGCCATAGGTCATCACTGGCAACACACACTGGTTATACACCTTCGTCTTTAGGCACTGTGGTAATTTGGACGTGAAGATATCGCATAGCTTCCCGAACGCTGCCCAGCCGAGTTGGATTCTTCGAGCGACCTCTTTGTAACATAACATTATGACGGGCTATAAGAGTGGAAGGAGCCACAGAAAGCGGCCGCACGCTTAACGCCTTAAAGTCTCTGTTTATTAAAGAGGTTGTTTGAACTATTGTCTTATTGCTGTATTTAAATTCCAAAGACAAAAAAAATAAATGACTATATTTTAGAAAAATTACATCACTGGCGAACGGCTGCACCGATTTGTCATTAGTTTTATGTTCGCTAGTTTTTATTTTTAACGTAAGTATTTCTATTTTAGTATTATGTTGTTGTTGTAATATGAAATGACTCACGTGCATGCAATAATAACGTAATCATTTACCTGGGCAAAACTACAATGAATTATAGCTGTATATTTGTATGTAATAGCCATAAAAAGTGCACCGGCTAATGACAAAAAAAAACAGGAGCGTATGTTATGACTACAGAATTAATTTATCAGTCATTAATGACGATTATACATTCGTATCATATCGAGTATATATTCGGTATATAAAATACTAGGTTTTCGGCAGCAGCTTCGGCCGCGTGGTCTTGTATTATACATAAAAAACTTCCTTTTGAATCACCCTATCTATGGAAAAAAACCGCATCAAAATCCGTTGTGTAGTTTTAAAGATTTAAGCATACATAGGGATATAGGGACAGAGAAAGCGACTTTGTTTTATACTATGTAGTGACTAGCTATTTCCCGCGACGTCACCCGCGTAAATCGTAGCCTATGTCAACCGCGTATGATGCAGCTTGAGGTAGGTGAAAGAATTTTTAAAATTGGTTTCAGTAGTTTATTTGCCTATTTAATGCAAACGAACGATCAATGAAATCTTTCGATTTAATAAAATTAGTATACATCTTAAATAGGTAACCAATTAGCCTGTAATTCTAAGTCAACTACGAAGGCCAGCATTGGACTGTTTTATCTGCTTTTTTATTATTTCGTTCTTTTTTATGAGTATAAAAAAGAACCAAGTGAGTTGGTGAGTACCAAGTATCATATTTTTCTTTATCTTTATGTCGCTTAATAATTTTTTATTTCTTTAATTTAGCAGGTCATGAACATACTAAATAAAATTGTCATCTTATTTCACACATGAAGGTCGGACATGTATGAAACACTTAAGTAGGTATTATAATGTTTAGCTGTGAGGGTAACGTTTCTACTGAACAGGGGCTGGATCCGATGGGCTCCTTGCTGGAATCCCGGATAATCGGAGAGCCGTGATTTAAAACTTAACAACTGAATGGGTGTATCAAATAAATAGATGAATCTTCTATGAATTATTTATTTATACTTTAGTATTACAAAAGGAATGGCTATGTCGTTATTAACCATGATCATCTTGTGGTAACCGGAAACGTCACCTGACAATGTTTTATTTTTTGGGGTGGTCATCCCATAATCAATAATAACAATTGCCATATATAACTTAATGTAAATGGATATATGGTACATCCCCCCCTTTTATGTTTTACTGCACATAGTCTTTAAATCGAATAGGTCTCCTCACTATACGTCCTGATCTTGTTGTTAACCTATTATTATTATTTTGGGACTCTTCTGTATTATCAAACCCATTACTCTCACTCTCATGTAATAAATTGGATGTATTGTTATTTTGGTTACAACTAATATAAAATGGGTTTGGTTCAACAGAAAACTCATTTTTACTAGGATATAAAAATTTCGAATTTCGCACTAGTAATTGATTACGCTTGTTTTTAACAATATAAGATCTAGGGTTATTGAAATTAGTTTTTACAATTTGACCTTGTTCCCATAATTTGTTTTTATAATTTTGGATTCTAACATTATCTCCCACTTGAAATTCACTCCTATATTTACTTGATTTATCATATTTTTTCTTGTGCTTATTCTTTATTTCTATGCATTTTTCTATTACATTACTAGGTATGTTAGGTTTTAACATATCAGTTTTACATGGCAATCTGGTTCTTAAATTTCTATTCATTAACAATTCTGCTGGACTGTAATCTAAATTACTCACTGGAGTTGACCTATAGTTTAACATAGCTAAGTTAAAATCTGAGTTTGTTTCTACACATTTTTTCATCATGTTTTTAACAATGTTAACTGCTTTTTCATTGTTATTTATTGTCTGACCCCCAATTGAATCAATTTTTCTTACCAGATTTAATCTCACACAATCTTTTAGTCCTAAAATTGGCTGTACTGACATGTCTACAATAGTAAACTTAATTTTAATTTCTTTATTTCTCACATAACAAATTAACATTGCTTCCCCCATTGGTTTAATTTTTTGTCCATTGTACACTACTAAAAGCTTATTACTATAGGTTAACTTTATATTTTCACTTATTCTTTTAAATAAATCAAACGGTAAAATGTTACATTCTGCTCCTGTATCAAGTTTAAAAACAATTATCTGTCCCATGACATATATTTTTTCTGACCATTGCTTTTCACTTTCAGAA